TTTAAGTGTTTGAGAGAAACACCATTATAGGACCTGTGATTCACAAATTGGTATCAGAGCTTGAGTTATGGAGAGTGTGAGCACTTCCAGTATGTCGTTGCCTCGCCTGACAAAGGCGAATTACGTGAATTGGAGTATCCAGATGAAGGCGTTGCTCGGATCCCAGGAGGCTTGGGATGTTATTCAGGACGGTTTTGCTGAACCTGCAACCACTGCAGGATTTTCAGCAGCTCAAACCAAGGCGTTGAAAGAGATGCGTGCGAAAGACAAGTCGGCCTTATACACGCTTTTCCGAGCTGTAGACGAGTCCGGATTTGAGAAGATAGCAGGAGCAACGACGTCTAAGGAAGCATGGGACATTTTGGAAAATGTCTATAAAGGTGTTGACCGAGTAAAGCAGGTCCGACTTCAAACTCTACGTGGCGAGTTGGAAGGCATGAAGATGAAAGATTCAGAGGGTGTATCCTAGTTCATCACCCGAGTTCAAGCCGTGGTGAATCAGTTAAAGCAGAATGGTGAGCAGATATATGAGACTAGAGTTGTTGAGAAGATTCTGAGGTCGCTGACCAACGACTTCGAAAATGTGGTATGTGCAATTGAGGAGTCGAAGGACTTGGCTACGCTTTCTGTTGAAGTGCTAGCAGGTTCCCTTGAGGCGCATGAGCGGCGCAAGAAGAAGAAAAAGGAGGAGTAGCTGGAGCAAGCACTCCAGACAAAAGCAACCATTAAAGATGAGAAGGCGCTCTATTCTCAAAATGTCCGAGGTAGAGGTCGTGGACGAGCTGGACGTGGAAATGGCCGAGGTGGTCGTGGCCGAGGTCATGAGGTGAAAAATGAAGAAAGAGCTGAATCGAGTCAGAGAGGAAGAGGACGTGGTCGAGGTGGAAGAGGCCGGTGGTCAAATCAAACAAAAGTGGAATGATACAAGTGTGGCAAGTATGGCCATTACTCAAGAGATTGCAACTCGGACAAGTGTTACAACTGTGGCCGAATTGGGCATTTCGCTAAGGATTGCCAAGATGAAAGAAGAGTTGACGAGGCTTCAAACCTCGCTGTAGAAGGAGATGGAGGAGTTCTTATGCTAGCCCATGGTGAAACCAGTTCAAAGAATGAGACAGAGTGGTATTTGGATACCGGTGCCAGTAATCACATGTGTGGTTACAAACACTTGCTTAAGGAGTTGAAGACGGTGGAAACCGGACATGTCTCTTTTGGAGACACGTCCAAAATTGAAGTAAAGGGCCGAGGTACGATCGGTTTCTTGCAAAATGATGGACGAGTTGGTACAATCCGGGACGTGTATTACGTGCCCGAGCTCAAAAGTAACATATTAAGCATTGGACAGCTGATGGAGAAGGGTTACTTGGTTCTAATGACAGACCGAGTTCTACTGTTGAAAGATAAACAAGGGCGTCTGATAGCCCGAGTTCAGATGGAAAAGAACAGAATGTACAAGCTGAGTCTAAGGAGCATGGAGGTCGGCTGTCTGCAAGCCGGGGTAGAAGATAAGATGGACTTGTGGCATAGACGGTTTGGACACCTTCATTATGGTGGTCTGACCGAAATGATGAAGAAGGACATGGTAGTGGGACTACCGAAGATTAATTCTGAAGGAAGATTTTGCGAGGACTGCGTATTGGGAAAACATGCGAGAAGCCCGTTCCAAAGGATGACAAGATACCGAGCTAGGCAGCCTCTGGAGTTGATATATACCGACCTGTGTGGACCCATTACTCCGGGGTCCTTCAGTGGTAAGAAATATTTTGTAACTTTTATTGATGATTTTAGTCGAAAGACTTGGTATATTTTTTGAAGGAAAAATCCGAGGTGCTAGAGGCATTCAGGAGTTTTAAAACAATGATAGAGAATGGTACTGGAAGATACATCAAGTCGGTCCGCTCAGACCGAGGTGGGGAGTACGTGTCAACAGCTTTCAAGAAGTATTGTGAAGAACAAGGGATAAGGCAGTTCCTGACCGCTCCGTACTCGCCCCAGCAGAATGGAGTAGCTGAGAGAAAGAACCGGACTATCCTGGATATGGTCCGATCTATGCTAAAAACGAAGAACATGTCAAAGGAGTTCTGGGGAGAAGCCGTGCAATGTGCCGTGTACGTGCAAAACCGATGTTCGCACTCAAGTATGAATGATAAAACTCCACAAGAAGCATGGAGTGGTCTAAAGCCATCAGTGGCCCATTTCAAGATTTTTGGTAGTGTTGCGTATGCACACATACCGGATCAATTGAGGACAAATCTAGAAGATAAAAGTAAGAAGTATGTGTTTATTGGCTATGATGAGAAGACGAAGGGATACAAGTTGTTGGACCCGGTCAATAAAAAGGTGTTGGTGAGCCGAGATGTAAAAGTGAATGAGGAAGATGGATGGGACTGGAGTAGTCCATCCGGGGTCAATGTGGAACCCAGACTAAAATCAATTGAGGTCGGACAACCTTCGACCCGGATTCCTGAGAATCCGAATGACTCAGATAGTGATGAAGAGCAGAGACAACCGAGATTGAGGAGTCTACAAGATTTGTATGATTCCACCAGTGAAGCACACTTGGTATGTCTGTTAGCAGATTCTGAAGAAGTAAGTTTTGAAGAAGCAATCCGAGATGAGAAATGGCAATCAGCCATGGAGGAGGAAATAAAGGCGATAGAAAAGAACAAGACGTGGGAGTTTGCCGAGCTGCCCAGAGGAAGTCGGCCCATTGGTGTGAAATGGGTTTACAAGAAGAAAATGAACGCTAAAGGGGAGATTGAAAGATACACAGCCCGGCTAGTGGCGAAAGGGTATAGGCAGAAGGCCGACATTGATTATGACGAGGTGTTCGCACCCGTAGCAAGAATGGAGACAATCAGGCTGTTGATCTCTCAAGCAGCCCAATTCGGATGGTCGATCTATCAGATGGATGTGAAGTCGGCATTCTTAAATGGAGTACTCGAAGAGGAGGTGTATCTGGAACAACCTCCGGGATTCATGAAAGCCGGACAAGAAAGAAAAGTGTTGAGACTGAAGATAGCTTTGTATGGATTGAAGCAGGCCCCAAGAGCCTGGAACACAGGAATTGACAATTACTTCAAGAAGGATGGACTGGAACAATGTCCATATGAACATGCACTATATGTGAAGAAGAAAGGAGGTAAAATTCTTCTTGTTGCTCTATATGTTGATGATCTGATTTTCTTGGGTAATGATGAAAGGATGATTCAAGATTTTAAGAAGAAAATGATGAAGGAATTCGAGATGACGGATCTCGGTCTGATGAGATACTTTCTTGGTCTGGAGGTCAGACAAGACAAATCTGGGATCTTCGTCTCTCAGGAAGCCTATGCAAAAGGATTACTAGAGAAGTTTAAAATGACACACTGCAACCCGGTTTCAACGCCAATGGAACCCGGGTTGAAACTTTCGAAGTATGATGGAGGAGAGAGAGTTGATCCGAGTTACTACCGTAGTCTAGTTGGAAGTCTGAGGTACTTGACTTGTACGAGGCCAGATCTGTGTCTGAGTGTTGGGATCATAAGTCGATTTATGGAAGACCCTGGGTACACTCACTGGAAGGCGGCTAAGAGAATTCTGAGATATGTGAAGGGAACAGTCTCACAAGGACTTCATTACTCGAAGTCGGACAAATACAAGTTGACGGGTTATTCAGACAGTGATTGGTGCGGAGATGTTGATGATAGAAAGAGCACGGCTGGCTATGTGTTTTTCATGGGAAACACGGCTTTCACGTGGGTGTCAAAGAAGGAACCCATTGTGACCCTGTCTACATGTGAAGCCGAGTATGTTGCGGCATCTTGGTGTGTTTGCCATGCAATATGGCTAAGGAATTTACTAAGCAAGCTGGAGCAAGGGCAAGTCGGCGCAACCGAAATCCGAGTTGACAACAAGTCTGCGATCGAGTTAGCAAAGAACCCGGTCAATCATGAGAGAAGTAAGCATATTGATGTCAGGTTTCATTTCATCCGAGATTAAGTCAAAGAAGGAAAAGTGGAGCTCACTCATGTTGCAAGCCGAGATCAAGTTGGAGATATTTTTACAAAGCCCCTGCCGACGTTGTTGTTTGAAAATTGCAAGAAGAAGATGGGAATGAAGGATGGTAGAGATATTAAAGTTTAAGGAGGAGTTTTGTTGGGTTTTAAACTTTATTTAAATAAAAGAAAATAGAAAATGAAAGGTTTTTTGGTGAAGAGGTGTGTCCCTTAGGAATTTGTTAGTGGACAATTAATGTGTTTAGATTTCCTAGTTAGTCATTAGTATTTCTAGTTATTTGCTATTGCTTTTAAATAATACCATGTAAATCATTTGAATGTAAGGCTTGAATGTTAAAAAGATATACAAAGAGGTATATTCAGAGAACTCCTTGTGTGTTTTAAGTGTTTGAGAGAAACACCATTATAGGACCTGTGATTCACATGTAGAACGCAACATGTGACAATGTACACTAATTTTTGCATAAGTCGCGTACAGGGGACATGCGCAACTTTAATGCGCATAATCAGAAAAATTTAAACTCGTGAAATATTTCTAATTTTGCTTTTCTTGGATCAAAAAGCCCTCATCATATGTGTATGGCGAACAACTAACTCCATGCTATTCAACATTCATTTAAAGGAGTGACATTTTCTTTTATTGGCTGTGTTATTGAACCGTTAAGCGTCTAGAACTTTTTTGGTTGAGAAGTTCCAAAATATCACGCGTAGTAGCCAGTCATAATAATTCTTATAGGAAAAGATTTAGAAAGGTACGAAAAAAAGAAGGGTCAGATTGGCCATTTCAGTAGGCAAGGAATATATGATTGTGTACAATCTGCAATTGTCATAATAAAAAGAAAAATACCTTTGCTACCTAAAACGATAGCCAACATAGCGCCACCTTTCATGTATAAATAGACACAAGTCTTGTACAACTGCCTATAATTACAGAACTCAATATTTCTTGACAACCACACTTCATACAAATTTTTTCTGGTTCTCTGCACAAGTGCAACCGCAATGGCCAGAAAACTAAGCATCGTTTTTCTCTGCCTTGTTTCAATGCTGCTGCTTCTTGTGGAGAGCCATGTAAGCTAGCATAATGTTTATAGTTATTTTTATCTCTCTCACGCGCACACATACATTGATAACTTCAAAGTTAAACTCGGCTTTGGCAGTTTTATTCTGATTGCTCTTCGTTTCTTATTGAAAATTTTAAGTGTGATTAGCGATGAAATGCCACATTGGTTAGATATAGAAAGTAAGGACCATATAAGTGCAAATAATTCATAATCCTGTATTCTTTAGGTCAAAATTATTTCCAGTGCTCTAGTTGTATCTAGCACTCTGTATTATTTCCTAAATATGGAAAAAAATAATACATTTTTTCTAGTCCTATGTTTATTGTTATTTCCTTTCATATTCTTCTTTTTTCCCTTAGTAAGGGAGTAAGTACACGTTGTATTGAAAATGTGCTCCTTTAAGGTCATCTCTTGGAGCGGATTTTGTGCTCCCCGATAACCTTTCCCAACATTTGTCTGAATTGATTTGACTTTCTTTACCATAAGAGATCATTTTCTTGTTTCAAATTGAACATAATGAGTTATTTTATGCAATATTCAAGTGTAGCTTATTAATCTAAATTTAATTTGTTTTTACAAGCAGTAAGAAAAAAAGTATTATTCTGAACAAATGGAGTTGAAGTAATGCATTAGCTATAGAAAATAAATACTACTTACCTTGTTTTGTTCTGTTGCCAGTTGCCACTATATTCCCACGGGATGCTTTCTTTATTTCTTCCTTTGTTTTATTTTCTATTTTTTATTTTTTGGTGTAAATTTTTTTCCCTTAAATAAGTGAATGATGTTGGCTTCCTTTAAATAAATTATTTACCTGATTTCTTTAGAGTGTATCGCTTTATTGATGCTTTCAGGCTGAGATTGTTGTCACTGCCGTTGAGGCTCCAGCTCCGCAGCCTAGCAACAACACTGCCAAGTTTCCCATGGTAAGGCTTTTCACATACTCTGCTCTTTATTTGGGCAATTTCACATAAAGCTAATTATTTGGCGCATTAGAGTTTACAACCTTCCAATTCACCTAATAACATCTCTTCTTGTGTTAATTTCATCTTTGTTCTATTGAGTTCAGCATGGCATCACTGAAGGAAGTCTTCAACCACAAGGTACTAATTAAGTGCATGTTATCTCATTTTAGTACCTTAATTCATACCTAAAAGCTACATAGGACACATTTTTGAAAGAAAAAAAAAAAGGTAAGAGGATCAAACCATTTGCGCTCTAAGTCTAAGGGAAAATTATTCTTATCCTATCTCCTGTTTAATACACCATTTTCCGAGGGCAAGGTGCCTAGAAGTAATTGAGTGGCATACCTCTTGGGTTTAAAAATGTAATACTTGATTAGCAGAAAATGATTAATCATAAGGGAATAATCAAGTTATACAATTTCCTTCAAGTTCATTCTGGCTGACTTTTCAAGTACTTATTCCTCTCTTTTCTTTTGATGTATTGTTAAAATTTGATGTATTGCAATTAAAATGCTGCACGTTGGTCCATGTATGAAATTGCAGAATGCAATCCTCGTTGTGTAGACAGATGCTCTAACACACAATACAAGAAACCGTGCTTGTTCTTCTGCCAAAAGTGTTGTGCAAAATGCTTGTGTGTGCCTCCTGGAACTTATGGCAACAAGGAGGTTTGCCCATGCTATAACAACTGGAAGACCAAAAGGGGTGGGCCCAAATGCCCCTGAAGCTTGAAAATTTCACAATCAAGTCTTGAAAATTTCTCAAATGCCCCTTGCACTATATAATCACAATATTCAAATTTCCTTGATTTAATTATGTTTGTCGAAGTTCACTTTGATTCTTCCTCGTGGAATAAGAGAAAATTTTCCGCTTCACATTCCTCCAAAGAAAGAGGTAAGCAAGGCACATGTAAAGAATACAATTCACTAGTATGACTTATAGTTATGATAAAAAAGTTTAAATGATTTTTTTTTTAATGAAAAGTTTAATGTAATGTATACTCGGTTTGTTATCATGTCATCGTATTAAGCAGCGCTTAATTAAAATGCAGAACTAACTTTTTCTTTTCAATTATGACGTCATTATTATTAACAAGTTGATTAATTAATTCTTTTTCAAAACATTTCCTATATGTAATTGCAAATAAACAGCCATCTACACTGAATAACCACATAATATAAATAAGTGTGTATCTAAATCACGGAACTACCACACGTAGTCCGTGTTAGTATATGGATGTCCTAGAGACAATCTTTTGATTAGATTAGGACATATATTTGGTCACAAATAAATATAAGCACTCTTTATCCTGTTTCATATTTTGTCTCGATATTATTAATATTATATGAGTAACTGGATAAACCCCTTGGAATAGAATAGGTATCTCTTGAGTATCTGTAATGAGATCATGATCATGAGGATTCAAGGATACTAGATGTTTATTCCTAATTTTATGTTCCTAGTCTAGAGACACTGAGAATGAGGATCAGTAATCTCGGGTAAGACTAGCACAGCTTATCTACTTGTATACGGATACAAGGTATAGACCACATGAGCTACAGATATGGAGATGTTTTAGCTAAAGTCGTGGCTGGACCTATAAAGGTATAGCTCGCACTGAACAGACCCACAAAGAGACTCTATGAGGAAATCTCACAAATAGTATCATTAAAGTTGTCTCTTAATATTTGGGTATGTCTTTCCTTAGACCAGAAATTTTCACCTAGACTGTGTTCTGGAATTTCTAGACAGATATTTCTCGGGAAGATATCCGGATATTTCACGACAGAATGCAGAAACTGCATTTCGTGAAGATATCCTTCCAAGGTTGGGTTTTTACTGATTCTAGACACTTAAACATGCATTTCTAGGTGTGTTTGACCAACCCCAACATTAAGTTATCATCTTTTAACCTTTACATGCATCAAGGTTCCATTTTTAAGCTCAAAGACTCATGATCAAAGGTGATGAAGCTTACCCAAGCTCAAACTCAGAAATGAAGGCTCTTGGAGCTCACAAGAAACTCCTAATGGTTCTGTCTCAACACTGTGCACGAAAATGTACACCAAGAAAGGTCCTTTCTTCACAAAGGTTGACACTTTGAAGCTCACAAGCCAAGGAGAAAGCTCCAACATCACAAACCACCAACTCAGCCCCTTCACAACCACAAAACAGCCCCCAACACTCAGAAACAAGGCCTCCAACACTCTCCCAAGGTCACTCTCACTCACACCAAGTGTTTAAGAGAAGAGAATTGAAAGGAAATGGCTTCAAACCTCAAGAATGGAGAAGAGAAGCCAAAAACAGTGTTTGGAAAATCTGGTCAGCCACCCTCCACGCATAGGAGTCTGTTTTCTAGGGTTTTGTGCCCTCACATAAGGTTTATATACGCGGTTAAGTTTCTAACACACAGTATTAACTTTAATTGCTAAGCTTAGCATTTTAATCCCAAACTTTGGAATCAGAAACTACACCTTTTTCCAAGAATTCTCATATTTTTCTTATAATTTTCGGAGCACCTTTCCGGTACGCGCTTTTCAAAGCCAGTACCAGTTTCTAGCACCAGTTCTCATTATTTGGACTTGAAACTCGTTTTACAAGTCCTACATATTATTCTAGTAATTATCATGCACTTATTATAATTTTTCGGGATACTTTTTCGGTACGCATTTATACCGACTAGCAGAATCGGTATCTGCACTTCTCTTCCGAAAAGCGACTTTCAGTATTCTTAATCACTTACTATAATTATTAAAGCCTCATAATAATTATTAGGGTCAATTATGGAATCATTTCCTATTTTCTCATAATTTATTAATTAAATTCCTTAATTAACGGTGCAGGTTCTTACATTCACCCCACCTTTTTAGGATTTTGACGTCAAAATCAGAAACATACCTGGTCGAAACTCGGGGTACTGTCGGAGAAGCTCGTCCTCTCGCTCCCAAGTACACTCCTCAGGAGTTCTTCCAGTCCACTGCACTTTGACCATTGGAATGATCTTGCTCCTCAGCTGCTTCTCGCCACGATCGAGAATCTTTAGTGGTCCGACGGGAGTCTTTAGGTTCTCCCGAACCTCCACATCATCAGGTTGCACCACTTGCGACGGATCTGCTATGTACTTCCGAAGCTGAGACACGTGAAACACGTCGTGGATGTTAGCCAAGTTGGGAGGCGAGGCAAGCCGATAGGCAACAGGTCCTACTCTACCAAGAATCTGGTATGGCCCAAAAAATCGCGGGCTTAGCTTCCTTACTCTGAGTGCCCGTCCAACACCGGTGACAGGTGAAAGTCTCACAAACACGTGCTCACCCTCACTGAACTCCAGGGACGATGCTTGACATCGTAGTAGCTCTTCTGGCGATTCTGCGCCTGCTTCAGCTTTTCCCTGATCATCTGGATCTGCAGGGTGGTATCTTGGACAAAGTCCAAGCCAAACAACTCACGATCCCCAACCTCAGACCAGCAGGTAGGTGTACGACACCTCCTACCGTAGAGCGCCTCGTAGGGTGCCATGCCCAAGCTAGCATAGAAACATTTGTTATACGAAAACTCCACCAATGGAAGGTACCTATCCCATGCCGAGCCCTGCTCCAACGTGCAAGCACGCAACATGTCCTCCAAGGTCTGGATAGTCCGCTCAGTCTGTCCATCAGTCTAAGGGTGATAGGTTGTACTCAATGTCAACTAAGTACCAAAAGCTCCCTACAGCGCCTCCCCAGAACCGAGATGTAAACTTCGGGTCCTTATCACTAATGATACTCTCGGGCACCCCGTGAAGCCTCACAATCTCGCGAATGTAAAGCTTGGTCAACTGCTCTGTAGTGAAGCTCACCTTCACTGGAAGAAAATGGGCAGACTTTGTCAATCTGTCAACAATGTCCCATATCGAGTCACAGCCAACCTGAGTCTTCGGCAAACCCACAACGAAGTCCATGGAAGTGCTCTCCCATTTCCATTCCGGAATCTCAAGAGGTTGAAGTTTACCAGACGGCTTCTGGTGTTCAATCTTCACCTTCTGGAAGATCAAACACTTGGACACATACACAGCTATGTCCTTCTTCATTCCTAGCCACCAGAAATTTCTCTTCAGGTCTTGGTACATCTTCGTAGCACCAGGATGAACAGTAAACTGTCCCTTATGAGCCTCCGCCATAACCTCTTCGGTCAAGGGACCTCGAGGAATCACAATACGCTTCTGAAACAACAGAAGTCCATCCTCATTCCGAGACACACCGTCTTGGTTCTTCACGTAGTCGAGACACTCCCTCTACACTTGCGCCTCTTGGATCTTCTCCATAAGCTCATTCCTGACTCTCACAGTCTCCATCTCGAGAAGTGAACCCCCAAACAAGGTGGTCACCTTCAAATCTCGAAACTTCTCTATGAGGTCAAAGTCACCCATCGTCAAACTGGATAGACTCACGAATTTCCGACTCAAAGCATCAGCTACCACATTGGCCTTGCCAGGATGGTACTTCAACTCAAAGTCGTAGTCCTTCAGAAACTCCATCCATCTCCTCTGCCTCATGTTCAGCTCTTTCTGATCGAACAGATACTTCAAGCTCTTGTGATCACTGAACACCGCAAACTGCATGCCAAACAGGTAATGCCTCCAAATCTTGAAAGCAAACACAATCGCAGCCAACTCCAAATCATGAGTCGGGTAGTTCTCCTCATGAGGCTTCAACTGCCTCGAAGCAAAAGCAACAGCTCTACTAGACTGCATCAACACACAACCCAGACCCTTTCCAGAAGCATCACAGTAAAGCTCAAACTGCTCCTCAGGATCAGGAAAGATCAACACAGGTGAAGTAGTCAACCTCTCCTTCAACTCCTGAAAGCAATCCTCACACTCGTGAGTCCACACAAATGGAGTCTCCTTTCGGGTAAGGCGAGTCAAAGGGAGAAACCCTTGATGAACCTCCAATAGTAACTTGCCAAACCTAAGAAGCTCATCACCTCCGTAACTGTCTTGGGCCTCTCCCAATCCAGTACGGCCTCAATCTTGTTGGGATCCACTGCAACTCTATCTGCTGAAATCACATGCCCCAGAAACTTGACTGATTTGAGCCAAAACTCACACTTAGAAGGCTTAGCATAAATCTTTTTCTCCTTCAGCACTTGCAGAACAATCCTCAGATGCTCCGCATGCTCCTCCTCAGTCTTGGAGTAAATCAAAATGTCATCAATGAAGACGTTCACAAACTGATCCAGATACGGCTGGAAAATCTTGTTCATGTAATCCATGAACACTACCGGCGCATTGGTGAGTCCGAACGGGACCGTATCTCGAACGAAACGCGGTCTTAGGGACATCCTTCGGCTTCACCCGAATTTGATGGTATCCGGACCGGAGATCAATCTTGGAATACACGCAAGCACCCCTAAGCTGATCCAACAAATCATCAATCCGAGGAAAGGGATACTTGTTCTTGATCGTCACCTTGTTCAACTGCATGTAGTCGGTGCACAATCGCATTGTCCCATCCTTCTTCTTCACAAAGATGACCGGTGCTCCCCAAGGTGACACACTCGGCCGGATGAAATCTTTCTCTGAAAGATCCTCAATATGCTTGTTCAGCTCAGCCAACTCCGGTGGCGACATCCGATGTGGAGCTAAAGAAATCGGCCCCACACCAGGCAACAAGTCAATGGAGAACTCTATCTCCCGCTGTGGCGGAAACTCAGGAAACACCTCGAGGAACTCCCCCACCACAGGAAT